AAAAAAAAAAAAAGAAATACAGATTTAGGTACAACTATGATTATTCCCATGCCGCTGGGATCTGAAATCATATGATTATTTTTAAATCACTAAATTTCAGCTCCACTGATCTTCCTCCCTGAAACGGCATCTTTTATGTAGCCACTTTGGTGTCGTGGTGAAGGGGGTGGCCTAGAAACCAGGAGACGGTGAGTTCTAGGCCTCCCATAGGCACGAAAGCCAGCTGGGTGACTTTGGGCCAGTCCTTCTCTCTCAGCCCAACCCACCTCACAGGGTGGTTGTGGGGAACATAGGAGGCAGGAAAATTAGGCATGTTTGCTCCCTTGAGTTATATATAAAAAAGGCAGGATAAAATCATCATCATCATCATCATCATCATCATCATCATCATCATCATCATCATCATGCTACTGTCATCATTATGATGACCCAGGAAAAACACCTGAGCAGGAAAAAATATCATACCACTTCACTGTATTCCACTTATCTTCTTGTTTTCTAGGAATAAGTAGTATGGATACTAACATTTTTACTAAATGCTATTCAGCAGAAAATGCAGAGTTTGATATAATTAAAATTTCAAAATATAAATCTCCCCCAATAAAATTATTTGACATGCAGGTGTGTTCTCCTGCCACAGACACATACAGACCCTAAAAGTACTAACTCCAATGCTAACTCCTATGTAGGGAACAGTGATGGCTTGCTCTGTCCCCATTTTCCAACCGCACACTGGATGTCCCATCACAAACATGAAGGCCACATGTGAGATGTACAGATTCTGCAATTCAAGGACAAGGCATATGGCCTGGCCTCTCTGTAAAGAGGGAAGCAATGGAAGAATAGGAGCTGCCATGGAGAGCTTTCACTGGGTGTACATTTTCTATGCGCTGCCAGGAAATTTAAGTTACCCTTCCCCAACCGGTACTTTCACAATGCTTGTGGCCGTTTAGGGGGACTGACATCCAACACATCTATCAATATGTTTGCAGAGGGTTCCAGAAAATCCTTGGTTAATGAGACATTTGAATTAAATGTGACCAGGTTATATTATATTAACAGTTCTTTTTGCCAAACAAAACAAACCACCCCACTACAGCTACAAGAAGCCACCAAAACAAGAGAAATTTTCTATATTATCTAAACTCCAAGCATGTTGTTAGTACACCTCTTTCCCATTATTTAAACAAACACCACCCTGCCACTGTTTTGTTTTTTTCAGTTAAAACATGAGGCAAGAAAGTAACACAATCTGAAGTTTTTTTGCTGTTAAGAAGGAAAGATAGGATACTAAATTTTGATTTGCATGAGAACTTGGTTGTAGTAGCCAGTTCCTCAAAGGTGAACAAAACAGTGGTAGGTTATAGACATAGCAATGGAAGTTAACAGACCCCCAATTACACAAGCATAATTTTATACAAGGAATTTTACATCTCTTCAAGGAACAGACAATATTTTTGTATAGACTATTATATCAAAATAGAAATACAACATTTGCCAGAGCAGTACTCTTCTAATTTCAAGCTCTGATCTGCAGTTGATAGATACAATTAAAGTCTCTTAATCGTCAATAACCACGATGTCTGAAAAATATTGTCCACATCTCAGATGTTTTTTTTTTTTTTTTTTTTTTT